TGCAACAGTTTTAGTTGAATATTTTGATATAATGATTCAGTCCATGGGTTTTACAGGTGTGTTGGATATAATTCAAAATATTCCACCACTATATTCACCATTGAAGTAAATCAAACCATTCTTTATGATTAACATTGAATCAACGACCAAACAGAAGGATGGAATTATTGATTTTCAATATTAGACGGCCACAATCACCCTTCTGTTTTTGGACAAAATATTAAATAACTAAAAAAAAAATTTAATTTGAGTCAAATTTTTGATAGCTATTGCTGACACAATATGTTTATTCTGAATCTAGGAAAAAAAACCTAGGAAAATATCCCTAAAGCTATACCTAACTGTTGCGTACAGCTGTCAAAAATAATAAGTAATAGCAATAAAAAAAATATAAAATATAAAATTTGAATGATAATTTTTACAATATCTTGGTGCGTCAGTCTGCTTGCACATAAAATAAAAATAATAATTACAAATATATTTATAATATTTGATTAATAAACCAAAATTCTTCAATCTAATAAGATTTTTTTTCTGGACCTAGACATTTATTTTTCAAACCATCCGGACCTTATTAGAAACGAATTGTCAACCACGGCTCTATACCAGTAATTTTCAACCTCGGGGTCAAAAAAAAGTAAAAGATAGTTTAGGAGTCCCCAAAAATAATGAACAAATGGTTTTTCATGTCAAAATTTATCATTTAAGAAATCAATTTAATTATTTGTTTAATACAAATGTACAATAACATATCAAATAAAATAGCGTACAGCTTAATCTTATCTGACGATGGATTATTTTATTTACTGTATTAAAGTAAGTATTAAAAAATTATTCAAGTTCTCTTATTATTTGAAGCGGTCACATTAAAAAAAAAAATAATAAAAATTTTGGGTAGGGATTCAAAAAAACTTGAAATCACTGTAGTTTACAATAACACCTAATAGCGCATTAAATATTTTTCAAAAACTTTTATTTTTATTAGTAAATTTTAACTGACTGATTGACTACCCGATATAGGTATTATTATAATTACCAATATAATTACAGTTATTAATTTTGTATTACAATTATTGACTATATTTTCCAGCATCTCCTAAAAGCTCAAGACATTTTGTTCCAACCATTTATCATTTTAGTATTTGTTGATTGTACTATTATAATGATTTTGATACGTCGTTAATGTTTAAATCTGTCTACAATGCGATTAACCACTTTTATGCGCAGGACTCAAACTTGCATGGTTTGTGCTGCAGTAACAACTAATATTGATCCTTCAATATTACATAGTAATTGGGTTTATTAAGTTCATAATTTTGTAATGCTCAACAATATTTTAGGGACATTATTGCGGTTAAAATGTATTTTTTATTTAAGTATTATATTACAGGTAGTAACTAGAAGGTACCTACTGTCTATTACAATTTAAAAACTATAAGTATTTACTTTGGGATTTTTTTCTGATCACACTAGAAGAAACACCAATTATAGCTATTTTTTTTTGTGTCTTTTTCATCAGTGTTCTACAACATTTTTAGTGGTTTTTTTTCTAGGTAGATTTGTATAATTTGTAATATTTATAATTCTTATAATGCTTTGACCTACATGAACGCAGTGAATGTGAGTGAATTATATTCTAACCATGCTGTTCATCACGCAAGCGAGAGACAAAGTACAAGGTGTTTTGTTTTTTGACGCGTCGCTCTCATCACATAGCACGTAGCGTAAATACATGTTGGTATGTCTTACATAATGCATTAATTAAGTAGTAAGTGATTCGTATAGAACCAAGGATAAAAAAAAAGTCACGGATAAACCAGACATTCTTTAAACTTTGAATAGTACCTACCTATACTTGTTTTTGATGCTTTTTGTATGTTTAATGCTTGTATAAACATTTATAGGTACATTTAAAAAAAATTTAGAATTCTAACAAGTCAATGTAAATTATTACAATATTTCTATGTTTTTTGTACATAATAAAAATTTCAAATTATATTTTTATACTTCATTATTTTTAAATTTATCCATGCAAGGCCCTTACCCTTACACTTATGGCACATTTTTAATTTATAAACATTTATTTTAATTATTCTTTTATCAACTCTAGTCGCTTTAATTATAAATTAACAAAACAAAAAAATATATGTAAGGCTATGTGGATTTATTAATTATATAAATTTAAAGAAGTAGTTTTAATTAATGAATTTGAAATATTTTATCATGTTTACTGTAATAGACTAAATTTTAATAAGTTATGAACCGATGATAACCTTATCGTTAGAGCATATTCTACAGGTAGTTAGTTTTTATTTTAAAAAGGATGTGCAATATGTACATTCATTTAGGAATACATTCAAGATTTTGAAGGAATAAATTAAATTGTATTGATAGATATAATTTCAATATAAATTGTTCAAGAAGTAATATGTGTAGAATATCGGCAGAACCGGTATCGGACTAAGACTTAGTAATAAGCCAGTAGTAAAGACTATAAATCAATATGTATTGAATTCATCTTGAAAATCTTTGTACTATTTAATGAACTAACTATTAATTAATAGATAAAATATTGAATGTAGTATCAAATAAAATCTTAACCAAACTTAAATTAATATTACCTATCGCTTGAAACACTAATGACACCATCAGTTTCAGGAATAATGATGGCTTTGTTTACATTGTCACTACATCCTTCAAGTTTAGCCAATAATACAGGCTTACGGTTTGAATTGAATTTATCGTTGCTTGAGCTTGGCCCAGGTTTGATTTGAGCTGCCATTTTTCAATCTCACAGTATTCACAATTATGATTGAATTTAGTTAAAAATCAATATTGAACCACACTAATTGGGTGACGAAAATCCTTACTATCTTAAGATTCATACATTAATAGACAAATTAAATATAAATACTCAAGAATTTAGTTTACTTATTAACACTATTAACACATACAAAATCAAAGAATTACAACAGACTATTGTGTTTTATGTTCTTATCAACATAGATAAAAACGGTCCCAGAATTTTTGACTTATCATTATTAGTATCGTTCAAACAAACGTTGCATACAGAGTGATCATTTTATTATTAATTACGGATTAAGATAATTCTTTCCATAAATATTAGACAATTCGCAATTCCAATGAATTTATCTTTAATTCGTTTTTAACTTTTAAGGACATAATAATATACAATTTGAAGTAAAAATTAATAAAATCTCACATTTGCTGACAACAATAAGCGAATATTCACTCTGTATACCAGCCGCGCATCGAAAGGGGCGGCTCAGAGTTCAGCCGGGCTAAGCTCGGCGCCTCTTGCAGGCGTTACAGCATAGGACTGAATACTGGTTATGACAAATTTAATTTAATTTATGTTAATTATATGTTAGATATATATTACTAAGTTAATAGGTAGAAGGTGTACTTTCTATCATAATTTTTTATTAATATGGTGTTTGAATACTTTAATACTATTAATGATACTTATGCCTTAGTCGGAACTAACTACTCGGTACAAAAATTAACCTGACTACTGGGTCATGCCTACTATGACCAGACATCCCGTATGATGGGCATTACATTGCTTTTGAAATATTCGTTTCTCTTTTTAAGTGGTTTCGCTTTTGTCCCGCATTTACGAAAATTCAATTTTTACATTCATAAATTGGTAAATTATATATAGTCCATGGTAAATGATAATACACTTACAGTTATACAATTTTCACAATTGAGGTAATGACCACTGACCATTATCATAATTCAATCACAAACTAATACAATTATAATATGAATGATACATACCTACTAAGTTTTATATAAAGCAGTGTTCAAAACTTATTTCATTATTTAAAAATATTAATTTGATATACAAGTAAATTTAATTAACATAGTAATCAAGTAGAAAGCATTTTATAATTTATCCAATAGCTAAAAGGTATCGGTAGTTCTTAATAACTTTAAGAAAGTGTCTCCCTTTTGGAAAGAAAAATTATGGTTACACAATTATGATCTCTTCTCTTAATTACCAGTTTATCCAACAAGATAATTGAGAAAGTCGTATGCCATTTACTATGGTCATTCAAATAAACAGTCTTCAATTAATTAATGTAAAAATAAAGGTAAATATACCCGTAATAAAGCAGTTCCTAATAGGAATAGTTATTAAGACAAATAATTTAATTGGTTTTTACTTTTAAGTAACAAAAATATAAAGTTACCGAACCCAACAAAAACTAAAAATGATACATTTGTTAACCAATACACCACAAGTTAGCTTGGTACACAATAACCTTAGCACCACTGGAAATATTGATTGATGTGGCATGAAGAATAAGAAATCAATGGTTACCTAAAACATAAAATTCTCAATAACAGCATGGAGTATGAACTCCACAAACATAAAAACAATCATCACAAAGTATGCTTAATATAATAAATTTATTTATTTTTTCTAAACCTAACACTGATTAGATATCTAGAGTACATAATTTTATTGGGATTTAAAAATTATGAATATGTAAATTTAACTTACTAGGCACTATGTACTGTAATGTGTAATGTTATTAGTAATTATATGTAATGTATATTAACAGTTGTATAAATGTATGTAGCATCTTAATAAAATTACATTAATGAATTATATATAAATAAAAAAATGTGTACATATTTAATACCATCTAGTTTAGAGCCAAAAAAAAGGTAATATTTATATAAATATGTTATTGATATTTGAATTTTTAAAAGAAATTCTCATTAATACATATTTATATGATGGAACAATCAACATAGTACCCAATAATGAATTTTATAAATAGATGAAAGCAAAAAAAATAAATTAACACACATATTTGAGTCAATAATATAGTATAAGGTAATATGCCATTAAATCAATCATGTATCTAAATATTTAATTCATAAGTCATGATAGATCACACATTACACAACAAATATTACATTTGGGTACTTACAGAACACTAAAAATAACGATCGGTAAACTGATAATATTATTTTTTCACAAGATAGTTTTCTAGTTAACTATTTGGAGAATTAATTTTATTAAGTAGCAAGGCAAAAACAATTTTACGTGTAAAATAGGATTTTATTTAAATGATAATTTAATTTAATATAGTGTAAATAAGTATAAAATTTGAAGTAACATGTTATACCCAAAATAATGAATTGTAAAAAAGCCATAAAGATTAAAAATTAAAACGATGGTATCTATAGATTTATTATCGAACATAATTAATTATATTAAGGTTGTGAGCTCCAATATTCAATGTGTCAAGCTCTTTTTAAATAGACATTGACTACATTAGATATTATTTCCAACTGATTATTACACTCAAATGTTTTAAATTAATAAAACTACAAACAAAATATCTAATTTTTTTCTAATCTTTCCAAATAATATATATATACAAATAACAATTACATCAGTCACTAAAATTAACACTAGATGAATAGCAAATCAATTAATCAAATAAACATTAAGTTCAGAATATCCCTTTAACTGATAATTGTATAATAGAATAATGTATCTGAATTACATTTTATATTTTTCAATATAGACTAATTTGCTTTTGCTAACTATTCTTTTCAACTAAATGATTTGATAAATTGTTTAAATCAAAACCACGACAGAAGTTATATTGAAAATTAATTCAATTTACAAACTTTAAATGTTGTTATTAAAATATCTATGTTATACACATAATAATGTTTTTTTTTTAACTATAACTCAATAAAATTCAATAAGTCTGGACTCCAAACAACCAAGGGTGGATCCAGGGAGAAGAACTATGGCCCACGTTTACAAAAACCAAAATTTTTCATTAATTATTAAAAATCAGAACCATATAAATATTTTTAATTTAGGTGCCCCCCCCCCCCTGTACTCAGATTCTGGATCCGCCCTTGCAAACAAGTTAATATAGTTTTTATCAATTAAAAGGCGTTAAACTGTGTATCTAAAAACTATTATCAACATTTATTTTTGCAAACATTTTATTTTGGTTAACATTTTTAGGAATGAAATACGTTTTTGCCCATATCTTTTATTTTATCTCTTGAGGTAATCAAACTGAATGCTGTAGCAAGACTGAATCCAATCAAACCACCAATGCCACACCTTCTAAGACCACCTGAAACATTTTTATATAATAATATACATTTCAAAACTATAAAATATATAGTCAGATATAAATACATTTTTTTTAAATTTGATATTTATTCAACGATGAATGTACAGATAAAAAAAAGATAAATTATGCTAAGTCAAAATAATAATTGTGTTATAATTATTAATATGTTATCGAACAAGTGATAACCTAGGTGATAACTAAGTTATAATCAAAAGTTATGAAGCATGAATTCACTTTGTAAAATTATTTTTCATCTATACTTTAGAATACCATATTTATGAGAAACAGTAACAATTAAAACTGAATATGTTTTAATCAAAGAATATAAAATATATAAATAGTATATTATTTTTATTATAATGAATATCTTCTTGTACATAAATCTTCAATGAGAAAACTTGTGTGGGATACCTTAAGTGTTTTCTTTATTTAAAAATAATGTCTATTTTTGCATTAAAATGCATCGCTAAAAATTATCAAAAATAATTACAGCAATATATTTATATAAACATTAAACACTAACTTGTAGCCTTGTATAAAAGTCCGGTGCTTGTTCCTGCTACAATTGTATTAAGCTCATCTTCACATCCCCGTGTTTTTTCTAATATGATACCGAAGATACTATAGTATACAGATAATGTTCCAAATGTATTAGACAGGCGTGCTCCATTTTTAAAAACACTATTTAAGATCCTGAAAATACATATTACAGTATTAAGAACTTTCTAAGATATATCAATAAAGCACTCCATAAAGCAAAACATTAATAAATATTACTGTGTTCTATTGTATGTACTAGTTTGATTTTCCATTGATGTCATTTTTATACCACTGTATATTCCACGTATGCCACCAATTGTAGCACCAATCAAACATGAAGTACCAATTTCAGTAAATGACAATTCAAAACGTCCACGTTGCTTGGAACCAGCTCCTTCCAGAAATATATATTCTGGCTGGGATGACTGAGGTAGAAGTTGAGGGTCATAGTTTAAATATGGAGATGGAACAGATGGAAAACTGGTCAACATTCCTCTATTGGCTAATCCAAAAATAATAGAAAAAATTAGTGAATTAATAATTGTATTATTATTATTATTATTACTATTATTATTATTCAACATATAACGTATAGAACATATTATTTAAGTAAATAGTAAAGTTGCTTAAAGTTTAATCAACATAGCTATCATAAATAAATATGTGACCTTTTTTATCTTAAATAGCTTACCAAACATTTGTTTGTTTTTTTATCGTACAAAAGATAGAAAATGTATTTTTGTAATGTAGAACCATAAATTAAATACTTGGGGATTTGAAAGTTGATTGGTTAAAGATGAAAAATGTTTTTCAGCTGGCATTAGGTCAACACTTATAGAAGTCATACAAAACTAAGGCTCATTGTACAATGTACCTATATGTAGAGTACGAATGCATACAATTAACAGCCTAATACAAAAAATCCAACATATAACGTACACTACAAAACTATAAATTATCATTAGAATTACTATAAAACATAACACATTGATAGGTCAAAGAAAAAATAACATACATATACATGTCTCAGTATACGTTATTATGTAATTAAGCAGTCTTTATTTTATGAAAAATTATAGATGATTATTGTAATGATATAACACATTTTAAGGACAACAAAACTAATTTTGACCACTCATTTTAAAAATATCAAATGAAATACCTTTATCGTCGCCCTCTAAACTGAACATTTTTGTCTCTGAAGGTGGTAAATAACTGATCATAAATATTTGATTCTTCACGAATAAAGGTTAGGTTGATGAGGTCGTGTATACTGTTTTCTCCACAGTCGTAAAACAGTACAACCAAAAACACACTATCGAAGTTCACAATTGAATATGATAAGACAGCTACAGCTCGGTGATTGTGCTGATTTATGTATCCGTGTTTGACGCGTTAAGTTATGAGCATAAATCACACACCAAAATCCCTAAATAATTGAAGAATTTGTTCATCAATGGTAAAACATGCAGCGATATAAACTAAATGTGTCTACAAGTCAACTTGTAAAAACTAATGATAAATGTTTAATAAGTTTTAAGAGTACATCGCAGTAAAATTAATAAATAATTAAATAATATGAAATTAAGACTTAACTTACTTGAGAATTCAAGGCTACGCCGATCAAGAAAGATCACTATTTTTTGGTTATGTTTTATCAATACAAATTATAATACGGAAAACTCAAGAGATAACGTGTGGTGGTAGTAGTACTGCGAAATAATCAACATCTACCAGCCGCACAACTACAGTGAACAGACTGCCAACTGCCGAGTGCCGGTGCGTAACGGTGGAGGCTTGTTTGGAGGTCATCACTTATCAGTTAACATTAAATGAATATACATCTGACGATATTACCAATTTCTTACAAATTTTATGACAATAATGACATTATTACAGAAACAGAATAAATTAAATAATTTCATGACATTATCCAAAGCGCGTTCTCCTCCCGGCTCCCGGTGACCAGTATTCGGCCGGGCCAGTTCAGCTCATATTAATTCAGTTGGCTGAAATGATTAGCTTCAATATTTCGATGCACACTAATTGAATATGATTTAATTTTTTTCAATTATTATTTATCTCAATTATCAGTGTGCTTTAAGTACAGACAGTGTACACTGTACACTTGTGAAAATATTATCATTAACAAACATTAGGTAACCAGTAAGTAATTATTTATGTATGAAACTGTCAAGTAGTAACAAATGATTATTCGGTAATAATATAAGTATTCGAGCAATCAAATTAATGTAATATGTCGAACCCCTAAAATGTATTCTACTTTTTTGAGTACCTACATATTTTAATGCATGTTTGTTAGTATATTTACCTACCTATTGTTTTAGATTCTGCAGGGCTAACCGATGTATGTAGTAATTTTACGATGATTTTTGTCTTATGTCCTTTACCGCCTTTTGTAACAGTAAAAATCTTCAACTTTGAGGGTGGTTTCTAATATTTCTATCAAGCTTAGGTCGGGTCAAGTTGGAACTTCAAAGAGATCTAAGACAAAAAATTCTTTGTAGGTACATAATTTTAAAATCAATGGGAAAACAAAGCATAAGAATTAATGAAAAACAGAAATCTAGAAAATCGTTTGACGAGTATTCGTTATTTTATTCATAAATAGCCTATTATGTCAAAATATTGTTTTAAAATTTCAATCCTAAAGTATAAAAAGGGGATAAGAGAACATCGCTCTTTTGTAAAGTAAGTTACAAATGGGTCATTGTAATTGATGGTGTCAAATTTAAATTCTTTTTGAAATCTTTTTATGACTTTTGTAAAAAATTTAAACTCTAAATGCCTATAAATGCAACCATGCCTGTATCTTTAATATTTTTGAGCTGATATTTATACAATTTATAAGAAACCTTGCATTACATTTTTAAGTTTTGTGACCCTTCAAATTTTTTTTTTAAGTTTCTATAAATAACTTAAAAATAAACAAAATACTTTTTTAATATTATCTTGAATATAAAATTATAAAATGAACATTTTGTGAAAATGTCATTATTTATGTGCAAATCCTAGTAGTAGGTACCTGCAATAAGGGTGCTAAGCATTATTGTTTTTATATTTAGCTGATGAAACTATAATCTGCTAGAACTAAAATAAGTCATTAAATAAAATATTTATCTAATGCCCAGCTTATTTAAATTCGTAAAAGTTGAATTGATTTTTAAAATTTCCTCATAAGTGCGAGTAGATATGCATTTCAGCAATGCATATAATTGCTCTGCCCCCTCCCATAATTTTCTATGCAATTAATTACCTAGTATTTGTACCACAATATTTACGTAATGTGTACTATTATAGATTATGCGTAAAGCCAAAAATGTCTAGTGGTGGCCTGAAGAAGCACTTCCAAACGTGTATAATTATATTTATAATTATTTTTTACTTATATATTATTCCTATAAGAATTTATTTACATACCAATATGGCAATATATAATATAATATGTACAGTTCGCAATTAGCATTCATCTCACGACCTGCAGTTCTGAAATTGACATGTCATTCCTCCAAATTATAAATCAATTTACCGTTTTGTGCTCTCCAAAAATTGAAATAATGTGGTTTTCAAACTTTTTCGTGTACCAATATTCAGCGAGTACTTTGCATGCAAGTAATTAGCAATTCCAACAAACTATTCCCGGGCTAGTTGGATATTTGTCGAACAAACATTAAATGCGCTTTCCTAGTTTATAGAGTGTTAAGTTCAAAAGTTCATTCAGTTCCACCAGTGTATTTAGTGTCTAGACGCTTTTGAAAATTGTCCAACAAACTAATTTATACATTATTTATACATTATTTTGTTTCTATAAGCATACCTAGTATCTACTATAAAAATATCATCAGTTTTTTTCGCAGAACTTTTACTTGAACACTATATCATATTTTAATGTATATTATTGAAAACAAAATTGTATACAAATTTATCATACACATTACTGACGAAGAAAAATAATTTAAGCAATTTATATATCACCTATGGGCTATGTTTAACTTTATTACTAGACACCAGGTACATTTATTTAACTCGAAAACAGTGTATGAAATTGAGCAACGGACAAAATTGATCAATTAATCCTTGACCTTTGTAATTACTAATGATGATTTTAATGACCAACATAAATTGTATGCTTTGGATTTGTCAAAAACATTAAATTTAAAATTGCTGAAACATTAGGTAGTTAAGTTTAAATATCTTAGGAATTAAAAATCTAAAATATTATAATGTTTAAAAAAAAAAATAAGTTTGTTTTTATTGTAAATTAGTACAATGATTAGATTATTTCTAAAATGTTTTAATATGTTTTTTTATTTTCTAATAGTTTTCTAGTTTATTTACGCGACTTGTAAAAAGTACTTTTAAAATCGTATTTAAATAGTTACTGGTGTTACTTATCCCCATTCAAAAAGTATTAAAAATATATTTCAAATATTTATAAGTAAATGTATTTAAGAACAAATACATAATAGTATGTACACCATTTTGTATTCAAAATACGTTACAAATACATTTTAAATACTTTTTAATTTTACTTAGGTATTTTACTTACAAGTAGGTAAGACAATTAATTTTGTTATTATAACAGTATTTAGTAGATAATTAGTAATTACTTATATATTAAAAATGTTTTTTATATATGAACTAAAAATACATAATTACATTATTATCTTAATATAATAAGTATATACACCTATACTTTAAAAATTTCGAGGGGGGTGTCAACCACTAACCCTCCTGTATACGGACTTGACATTTAGTCAATTATAATATGCGTGCATTAATATATATCATAATTCATGACTATTTCTCTATAATATGATGAACTGCTTAATCCACCTATAAATTATCAAAATAAATACTATGTATAACCTACAAGACATCGCTCAATCAATTTTCGTTAAAATGCCCTATTTCGTTAAGAATTACATTCAAATAAAACAAAAATTCACCATTGACCAACGTCTCTATAATGGATACTAGGATACGAAACTCACAAACATCATGGGAAACCGTGTCTAATGGGTAAGCATCTAATAAACACCTTTTTGTTAGTATAACAACCGAAAACGTCTACAGGACATAGAAAATAATCCCTTCTTCAAATTAATTTTCATAATTGCACGCAGTACTACACACGAGCCAACTGCAGTTATAACACAAGTCTATTAAAATATATTAGTGTACATTGATATTTGGTGAGAAACATTTACTTATTTCATTTTTTTTTTTTTATATTTTATAAATTAATATAATTTATGTACCTACCGATATATGGAATAAAACCTAGGTATACCTACAAATCTCAATATATAGGTAAGTTCTTCGTAGACCGTAGTTCGTATAAGTACTTACCTACATTTTAAAATAGTTTCATAAGATTTAAAGTTATCATTATAATTTATTTCATAAAATATAAATAATCTCTATAATATCTATAACGATCCGGGATTATTTTGTAATACCTAATTTGTAGTAGTATAATTAACAATTTTCTATATGACTATATTGTCTATATTATACGTGTTTAAAACCTTATACTTCCAAAGTAAAAAATATCGAAGAATCAATATACACCTTTACTATTTATAAGTAGGTATATCGTAGATGATAATTGTAACGAATATTTCTTTACTTCTTCGTACAGCGGATGTAGAAAAAAATAAAGAACACGCATGAGCAATGAGCAAGATCTAAGAACAATATATTGTTAATAATATAATCTAAATATATATTTTATATGAATATTGTTTTCAGATCTATTGTAAATGTCTGTTTCAAAAAAAACATGTTCATATGTTATATTGTGAATTATTTACTGTCTTATTAGCCATTATAGGTAATAAGTATATAATTTATATAGTGAATAGTGATTGTTAATATGTAAGGTAAATAGATATGATTGCCTGCCACACGTATACAGAATATTTTATATGTACTATATATGCTATTATATTACTATCACGAGTGACGAGTGACGAGTAACGATGATTGATACCTAATGCGTGATGAGTGATGACTATATAAATATGAAAAAATTAATATTCGATGCAATCAATATTTTAAGATAAGTAAGAAAATCAAAAACTCAATATTTACAATTTACATAGTAAAAAAAACAATGTATACATTTGTATATTACCATGAATACTAATTACGGCAATTAAACTAACCTAAACACTTGTAAATTATAATGAAATCAACTAAAATAATGAATATTGATAAATTTAAAACTACCGTTTACAATTCCCATCACAAAAAACATTGTATACATTGGTACCTATATTACTATAATTACTGAATACAGTAATTATACTAACTTGAACACTTGTGAATTGCAATAAAATCAATTATGATAAATACCTAGCTAATATTTTTTTTTAAACATTTTTTATAAAGTACACAATTTTAAATTCAATATACTATTTATATTATATCAATATTAATTTTACAATAAAAGTGTCTATTGCAAATAGTGATTTATACGTTAAATCAGGAAATTGCCTGAAAGACTCGAGTTGAGAAGCCACTCAATGGTAATACTTACAATTTTTAATTATAGTTGTTACTATTTGAGATTACTCACTGTAGATCGTGGTGGTGTTGCAAGAACTGGTATACTTGTAATGATTTTGGTATATTTCATAATTGGCTTAATTTGTAAACAATACGAAGAATAAAACTATATTATATGAACGACTGTACGAATTAGAACAGCTAATATATACACCACTATTATTTTATTTCGTCATAATAATATTCCATTAGTTACAATTTTTAAACAATAATAATTATTAGTTTAATTATAGCGTTGTAAAATTATATTGATATTATGTTTCGCAGTAGAATATTCGATAATTTTTTTTTACCCGTTCTATATTACTATATATTTGTGACTATATTACATACATACTATCAACGATAAATGATGACGAAAGTACCTATTGTTACATATTATAGCTTTATTTTTTTCTACCGAAATGTTTTCCATATAATTTGTATGATAAGTTTACAATATTCTGGACTTTAAACATTACAATTTATAGTTAAAATATAAAATCAGTTCATTTCTTGATTTTAGTTTTTTAGTGAGAATCAGTATTTTCGAAGCCTTTTAGAGTTTTACTTTACTTAAAAGCTAAACAAATTCCTCACAATGAAATTAAATTCTTAAGCATATAATATATAATAATGATTAACAATCAAAAGTTTAATCAAGTTTATTGTAATTTAATTTGATTATACAATTGTATAAAGACATAAAGTTTATACACAAAACTGATTGCTGTAGCCTGTAATGCTATAAATACCATCTTTTAAAATTGTGAGCATATTTCAATTGTTTTATTTCGAGATACATATTCAGGGCCGAGTTCGAACTTCGCAGCAAAGGGGGTAAGCGTCTATGAATGGCGCCGAATTAAAAGATAGATTTATATTTTATTATTATTAATTAGTTTAAAAATATATTCAATATATTTCTTAAATATTTTAAGACGTAATAATTGGAAATCTTCAATACAATACAACACACGTATGCGCAATCAATTAATATTATAGGGTCCAACTCATTTTAGAGTTTTTATCTATTGGTTCTAATCAAAGCAGGCATGATATTATTAACACGAAGCAAAATCAGTATACACTTAGCTTCGCAAATAAAATAAAATCATTTGAATTTTTCTTTCCCATAGTAGTTCCTTTTTTGAGTTTCCATCTTAGAAATAATCAAAAACACTTCAAAAAGTCTTCAACTAATTAATATTGGTTTGCCATATCTATATGCACTCATGTATGCTTTTAAACTGTAAATTTCATTATCTATACTATTATATAAACTAATAAAATTAAAGTACATTGGTTATTCGTTTTTAATGACTACAAAAAATAGATCATTTGAGGAGAAATTATTATTACTTAACCATTTTAATAACATATTAGTAAATTATTACAACCTTTCCATACACACCAATACACCATAGATATGTAGCCCAGAGTTCTGATATTTTACCTATAAAAAACGAAAACATAATTAAAATAAAAACAAAGACTTCAATAGGGCGTAAAAAGCGTAAAAGTATAATTAATAAAAATATCAGAACTGCTATGCAAGGTAATAAAAAAAATATTGAATGGAACAGTAACGAAAAGTCTGCCAAGGTCAGACTTTAACTTATTGTGGTGTAGATTAGGAAAATAACTGTTTTTTTACATGGGCAATAGTATGTGGCATTTTCTAGAGTCGGAAGGCCTCACCATTTATACGTATATGCACCACAAAATCAAACTCTGAATGTGGTATATCAAGAGGTTTTGACTTAAGCCATATTAGAATTGAGCAATTACGTAGGTATAGAATCATTTGTAGATATTCAGCAATATTTCTAATATTTAGCACTTGATAAAATTTTTTCATCTTTGAAACTAAACAATGTGTGTCGATTTAACAATTTAATTTTGAGCAAAAACTACATACGGGCGAAGTCGATTCAGCTATTAGTTGTATAAAGTTTAAGGAATTTTCAAGTACAAAATAGTTTGCAAATTTTAGCGACTTTAACGTATCTATATAATAAAAACAATAAATGTCTGTATTTTTTTTTTAAGTTGGTATATTATGAACAAGCTGTTCAGAGGGAGTTATTATGAGGACATTTTGTATAAATCCGTTATTGATGAGGTACGAGACTGCGAGAGTTAGGGGCAAATTAATTATATTTGCCTAAGTATTCCTCACAAAAAAGACGTTATAATATATTTTTAATTCTTTTATTTTGTTGACTTAATGTCTGCAAGGTAATAGTGAACAACAGTAAAGTACAACGCAATATCGAAGAATGGTGTTTAATATACTAGCAGTAGACGTACTCGGTTTTATGTTTATAATATCATATAATATTGTATTATTACATTATATTCGGTTAAATTGACTCCCTTTGAAAATATTTCCTGCCTACGCCTGCCGTATAGGGTCCCGTGCGCGATATTTCATGCTGTGAAACCGACGAGTAATATAAAAAAAATAAACAACAAATAAAAACATTTAACAATATAAAATAAATACGTAACGACTTTACAACCTCTCCATATACACGCGACGGCGGTGATTCGAATATACGCGGGAACTATACGCATTCCATCGGTGGCCGTTGTTGTGGCTTGTGGACGGGCGGGCCGTAGAAAATCCGGTGTATGTGGACGCGTGCGTGTGCGTGCGTGCGAGGGTGTTAGCTCGCTTGTCACTGATCGGCCCCGCGTGCGCGCCGCTTGGCGCTTTCTCGTCCGGCGGTCCGTGTGTTTGCGTGGTGGCGGGCGCGCGCTTGGTGTGTGTACGTTACACGTGCGTGTGCGTGCGTGTGCGTGCATGTGTGTGTGCGCTTGAGGTGCAAGAATGTGAGTGTGTGCGCGCGCGGCGCGTGTACGGTGCACGACGACGGTCGACGACGCGACGACGACACACCGCCCGTAGCGCTCCTACGTAGTTGTGTGGTTACGTTCGCCTTTTCAAACGCCAATAAACGATAAACAAAATATCCTTATGAATAATAATAATAACAATAAAAATATTCAGTGATACAGATTTTGGTGATAATATCGCGCACATTATTAGTGTTTTTATTACTCACTATTATTATTATTATTTAATAACAACGTTCGGTCGTAGGTGCGTACAAATAGTTATAACAATCGTTTTGTTCAATATTTATCTCCGTCTCGGTTTTAATACATATTTCTGTAGTTCCGATGGACGCGGCGCTAAATTAATATACGTTCGACATTTTTCGGTTGCGCACAACGTCAACGTTCCGTTCGCAACGTACCCTTTTCACCGCAGTCGTTGCGCTCGTGGGCACGGTTAAAAGTGAAGGACACTTTCTTTACTGGGCCATTTCGACGTTCGACCGCATTCGGTGATTGGCGTGTGCGACACGGCCATCGTTCCGCCGTACATATATGGTGCATTATAATAATAATAATATTGACCGCACGGACGTTCACAGGACACCACGGGAGGTGAAAAAACAAATGTTTAAATGGAAGCATCTTCAATTATCACCCAAGTGTCGCGTGAAGATGAACACCTAAAAAGTTTTGTGCCAGATAAGGGTAAGCCGATTTGTCTTGTCTGCATCTTTTTTGTACCTACCTATATAACATTATTATTATTATTGTTATTATTATTACTATTATTGTCTTCTTTTGAATTATTAAGAGTCTGGCAATTCACCATGTGACTTGATCAAGTACCTATATAAGATGAGCCATTTTCAACTATATTGATATTGTCATACCTAATCATATTTTTACTTTTTATTATTCTTTAAAAATATTTTCTATAGTCTATATATTTTTGATTCTACTTAATTACGTATTAATTATAATTTACAGTTGTGTATGTAAGTGCATTTGTTTCATATTTTATCAATTTATTAACAAATATGCCGACAACCTCTTTCTACGTTTTAGTGATAATTAAAGTTGTATGCATTGACGTCCAGACTGATTGATACAATTTTTGTTAAATGGGCCTTTAGAAATTATAAAGTTTTCAATACATTTTTTCGTGGTTCGGTCCCCTATTATGAATAAAATAATTGTAGAGCTCTCCGGCAATCACTGAGTCGGTCATTTAGACCATACCGAGTACCGACAATGTATGTTTTAATGTTTGACTTGAAATATATTGTGAAATAAGTGCCTAGGTATAATAAAACATTAAATAATTATAGTATTTTTATTTCTATTTTTCCATAATTCATGCAAGTGCTAAAATAAAACAATCATAAATACTATTGTTTAATATATTTTATTGATAGGCAATAGTGTAATATTAATAACAATATTTGTTAATTGATTTTATGTATTTGTTATCATATTTCTTTTAATTTTATTTGGTATTACTCATACGCTGTTATTCATTTATATTTACTAATCAGTGTTAACAGTAGTGTGTTGTAGTTCTATTTTTTGTAATTACATGATCAGTAGGTATCTTCAAATTTGTATTGCACATGTAATGATTTCATATTAAATAACATGCTTATACACTGGTATATACTATATTATAGTGGTAGGTAGATAGATAGTAAACACAATATCACAATAATAGGTATCAATCCCGGTATCAATACATGCAATTTAGGTAGTTATACAAGTGATTACACATGTTGCTAGGCTGATAATTTTCTGACTCCTAGTAAATGTTATTCTACAAAAATATGCAAATTATTATTTACTTAAGTTTTTTTTGAGAGTGGTATCAAAACTTAAAAGAAAATTCCTTAGGTAACAATGTTTACTATTGATATCCTCAATTGACGTCTATTTGTTACCGGACAATATTATATATATTATTTAGTATTTATTTGTAATATACATTTCTTATAGAACATACACATTACACATTATCAACCTACTTACTAACTTTTGTATCATGTATAAAGAATTGCTTTAATTTCTCAAAAGGATGTGGAGTACTCCTTAGGTACCCTTACTTACTTACTGACCTAAACAATTTTTTTTTAAATTTATATTTGAGATAAAGATATCTAATGTGCATAAATATTTTTGTTTTTAAATATCGAAACTTAAGTTAAGCACATACTAAGTAGGTCATTAACAAATTAGTTAGATCTCTTATATCAAATATAATGTTTATAAAATTGTAAATTATATTGTGCCTTTGATTAAAAATAATATAAATCTATTATACAATTTAGCCAGTACAGAAATAAAAATGATAACTAGATAATATTTTGAGTATATTTTTAAGGATAATGAATCAGAGTAAAACTTAATTTACAAAAAATATTAAAATTTTGTTTGAAATGGGAACAATTTGTTGTTTCAACAACAATTAAAATGTAGTCTTTATAAGGGTTATTTTCTCATATCTCATTAATATTAAGTAACAAATATAATGAAATGTTAGGTATATTCAATCATAAACCTATATCCTTAATTTTTTTTTTTTTAATGTAATTTTGAGAGGTTTCAAATGATCAATTCATTTCAAATTAATAACCAACTTCTTTAATTTTTTTAATAATGACAAACACATTTTAAGATTAAACATATTGTCAAATTACACACATAATATGTTATTTAATCTTTATCATTATTTGCATCATTTTTTTCTGCTGTAATTAATTATTTTCTATGATTTCATGAATTAAACTATAATTTTTTTTACATAATAGATTAGAATTATAGAATTTGTAATATATAAATATACCTCCAATATTATTATTTATATGTTCATCCAATTTGGAATAATTGAATGTCGTCATTTTTAATTTACGTGTTCTGGGCAAGCGTCTAGGTTTAATAAAAATACTATCTGACCTAATAAATTTCAATGTACTATGTATGATAAAATATAATTAATATAATATTGAACTTAATTCATTTTTGATTAATCATGATTTAATTGTGTAAATAATTACTACAAGTTTTTATTTTCCTTTTTAACTAATGTAGTATATACCTACATAATGGAGAATTAACTAATGTATTTATACAACTTATGGTAGTTTAAATATATACCTATTATTCAAGTTAAGTTTATTTAATAATAATGCATACCTAATACTATTGAACTAGAATTTATGTAAAATTATTTATCTGTACATTGGCATGTACTAATATTTAATGAGTGAAAATTCAATAAAATCGTTCAAATTTAAACATAAACTGCAGGTACACTCATAAATTATCAGATCCCTGGTAATCCAAACAAACAAATCTGTTATTTTAATTAAATTGTATACATTTCTATTGTTTTATTGCTTTTATTGATTGACTTTTATTATTTAATTGATGATAATATCAGTTAGGTATATGCCAAACCTACAAATGGCCTATACAAGTCAACAATGGGTATATTATATTTTGTGTTTTATTTAATTTTTATCAACAAGTATGTAATTGCAATTTTTTAAAACATTTTGATGATCGAAGCATGTCTAAGTGAATTACTTATATTGCTTGAGTACTAATTTATTATGTAGGTACTTATATAGTTATGTATATGTGATATATCCATATTATTATTAAACCCATTTAAATTAAGTGTGACCTAATTTATTTGTTATGATTTCTTTAAACTCTTTACTTAATATAACATTGTGTACTAAGAAACATTCAGTTTTACTTTAATTTAATTATTATATTATTGTTTTCTTACAATTTTTGTTTGTTTAATATACTAATGAACAATTTTGCAATCTGACCTTCTAGTCATGACAAAATATCTATTAGGAAATTAAAAAAAAATTGTAATAAATTATTAATAATAACCTTTGCAGTTCTAAAATGTATAAGTGTCTAACCATTTATTTAAATATACTTATATAGGTACTGTTATTTCATACATATAACTATTAAGTATAACTAATTGATAATTGTTTATTTTTCATTTTTTTTTAATTATTACTATTATTATTTTTTTAAATATTTATTACATTAATAATCTATAATTTAATGAAAATTTCTATCAAAAGTTTAGATTTTAAAATACGTATAAATAATTAAATTTAAATAAAAAGTTGGTTCAATTTTTTTGAGTCTCCATTAGGTAGAGAGAACTTTTTCTTTATACATATTGGTATGAAGGTACATTAATGTATTTGTTTTTTTTTTATATATATATATAGCTGATCATGTTCGATTGAAAAATGAACGAGGGCTATGGCGAAAACTACTTTGCTGTTTTGGGAGATCAAGATCGAGACCAAATTCTACTTTTGTCCCAAGTAGTAACATACGTGGAGGTGGAGTGAATACTAAGTCTGATAGGAGTTTTACTCCTCCTCTTAGCCCAGATCTTTCCCAATCATCATACTTACTTCCTGCTATAAGACACCAAGATATGCATAAAAAATGTATGGTTATTGATCTTGATGAAACACTTGTCCATAGTTCTTTTAAGGTATTTAGAAAATGTATTATATATTTAAGTCTTGCACATAAAAATGAAACTAATTAATCAAGAAAATACTTGTACTATGTTAATTTAATATATTAAATATTACTAATTTATATATTTATATAAAATTTATTAGGCAATTAACAATGCAGATTTCGTAGTACCTGTTGAAATAGATGGCACAGTTCATCAAGTCTATGTATTAAAGAGACCACATGTAGATGAATTTCTTCAACGTATGGGTGAACTCTACGAGTGTGTATTATTTACTGCAAGTCTTGCCAAGGTATATTTATTGTTTATTCATTATTACAATTACTAACTTAAAATAAGTTCCTATATTTATGTTGTTATTTGTGTAAAGTAAATATTTTGTGGACAATTTAATTAATGTATAGTATACATCTCATCAAATGCGACTTGACATAGTACACCGGTAGGTGGTTTTTTGTCGGGGTTACTCTTAATAAGGCGTAAATAAAGTGGAAAATGTGAAAAAACACGTTTCTTATTTATTGGCTGAATTTATAAAACACTGATTTTTGTGTAAGTGAATACCCGAGCTATGATCAATTCGGATTTGATGTGAAATGTTCTATAAATAATCATTTATGTTTTATAGGTATGTCATCCATTTTTTTATATTCTTGTCGATTTATGAACTTAATTCATATCGGAATAAATTATGATACCTATATATTATAATATAATTAAACAATTAAAAAGTTAAATATGAATAGTGTTTTTGAAATTATTTTGTCAACTTTTTTTAGTATGCTGATCCAGTTGCCGATTTATTAGATAAATGGGGTGTATTTAGAGCCCGTTTATTCCGTGAATCATGTGTGTTTTATAGAGGAAATTATGTGAAAGACTTAAACAAATTGGGTCGCGCATTACATAAAGTCGTAATTATTGATAATTCACCTGCGTCATACATTTTTCATCCAGATAATGCTGTATGTTTAACTCTTTTATGCAACATAATATTTCATTTAAAACAATATCAACTCAATATTAATTTTCTTAAAATAATTTTTTAGGTTCCTGTTAATTCGTGGTTTGATGATATGACTGATAAAGAACTGTTGCATTTAATTCCATTTTTTGAAAAACTTAGCAAAATGGAAAATGTTTACCCAGTTATTTGCAACATAAATCATATGGCAAATGCTGCTGCTGCAGCTATTGCAGTACAATCTCAACACATCAGTACCGACAATGTTTTATAGCATCAATTTTTAAGTACAATTTATTTGTGCCAATGGTAATTATTCTAATCTACCGTGTTAAACAAAAGTAATAATAATCATAATGTAACAATTGTATAATGTATACAAAGATAAAATTATAATATTTACCTAATTTAGGTACCATTATAATTTACAACTGTTTTAATTATTTTTCTCGTTAAAATCCTATAAGATACATTTTCAAATGTTTAGTTTTGTTTTTATAATAATAAACAAACTGACAAATTTCTAAGGTATTGTACCTATTACATACCTATATCATTCAACTAAAAATTATTAAATATGATTTTTTAGATTAAAAATTAATAACATTTTATATATTATAACATTATAGATTACGTACAGTTAAAAGTATTTATTTATGTCAAATTAAAGTACTTATTATCCATACATGTGTATAGTATGGTGGACTAATCAAGGACAAAATAATTTAATTAAATATACGCAGTCTAAAGTATCCTTTTTTTGACTTAAAAAATGTGTTCTCATGCACATCTGGAGAATATGTTTATAAAAACATATGATCATATCAAATCAGACAATATATGTTAAAACCTAATATCTTAATATCTTAATCAAATTAAATTTTTATTTTTACATTTTTCTCTGTCCATTTTTATAATAAGTATTTTAATATAAAATATAGGTACAAATATCTATGCTTTTGTCAATAATTGATTATTTTATATTTGATTGTAATGGAATTATTATTATTATGTAATTCATACAAATTGAAAGTAAATTATTGACACCCCTACTGCATAGATTCACGAATTTAATAATATATTATACATTAAAAATATATTTTAACTAAAATCAAACATTCTCTAATATTAATTTTGTTTGTTTTTATTTTTGTGAAAAAATCAATTTTTTTAATTAATAAGTTAATTATAAGATCTCAAGAGGACACAATCAGTAACCTATGTTTATTTGAATAGTGTCATATGGTTGCATGTTTTAATTTACTTTGAATGATTATAAAAAATATTGTATAGAAAATAAGTATGCAGTACCATGGAGAAAATTGTATTTATTCATAATTTTAAAAATGTTTTATTCATTATCATTTAAACATTTTTTACTCTGTGTAATTTGTAAACAAATTGAAATATTTTATAATTTTTATAAAAATCCAAACCATATTAATCTGTATTTTAATATTTTTTTCATTTTATAAAGCAGTATTTCAATTATTTTGTAAAAACAATACACACATATTATATAATATGTTTGTTCATTTATGCATTTATAAAAATTGACTGGTTTCAAACTCGTTTTGTTGTATATTCATTAATTATTATTGTGTACTCTTGAGATAATTAAAATAATAAATGTTATTATTATTTTTAATTTATGTTTTATTTGAAAATATTCAGTGGCTTATACAGGGAGAAGTGTGCTTAGATTTTATCTTTAATATTAACCTAAAAATCCAATAAAAAAGAAATTATTATTGAAATGTATGTATTTGCACAAGTTATTGTAAAACTAATTAAGTTCAAAAAAATATTTAATACAATTATATTAAGCACAGAATTAATTAAAACTAAACCATTTTTATTCACTTCTAATTAATCCTGTGTATGCTACAGATAATATTAAGAACACCAATGTTGTACTATTACCTTTTGTGATTGTATTCCAAAATCTTTTGGAATGTGTGTTTTTATTATTATTATATTATTTTATTTTGTTTTCTTTTAAAATTATATTTCTTTTAAACATTTTATCACAAACATAATTAGAATTAACATTATGTTGATATCTATATTTTAATTTTTTGTTATTCTACTAGTTACAATATTAGTAGTTGAACGTTTTACAATCTGTATGGGTTTTGTTATACAAGCTCTTAGCATTGTTCTTGGTCATCAGTTTAATTTGGTTTATTTTACATTATGGTTTCAGATAGTTGAATCTCTTGTTTATTATTAATTTTTGGTTATTTCGTACAATTTTATTTCTTTATGTGAAATGCATTTAGTTATCTAATAAATGAAGTATCAATGTATCATATTTGTTTGTATATTAATAGACTAGATGGTCACTTATTATACGCTCATTACACTTAAAAAGTACTGAAACTGTAAAATATACACACAAATATTATATTTTATTATTATTTTGCTCTTTGATTTATTAGCAAACCCTATATTGGTACATGAATAAAATAATAAATAATAAATCACTCAGCAATTGTTATTTAAAATTTCCAATAATATATAACATAGGTATAATAAATTAAGAGAGTTTAAGGTAACACACTTGCTTTCTTTGTCTTACAAATGTACACATTTTATGTGGTTGACTTTGATATAATAATAGAGTGAATTGACCTATTATCAAATTTTAAATTATTGATATTATAAGGTTTTGTTAATATTTTAGTTTTAAAGTTAGTTATTTATAATTAAAGTTAGCAACACAAAATTGTACATGAATATTATATTATATTTGCCCAAGAAAAATATAGTACTACAGAAACTGTTTACAACAACATTTAAATGACTTATGAAAATATAATCTATTGTAGTAGGTATTCAGATATTTAAGTAATTATACAAAAAAATATAAATATATAAATAATAGTTGTATATATATTGAAGATATGAAAAAAAAGTTTGTATGCACCATTGTAACATAATGGCTAAGTGACCTTCAACTAAAATTGTACTTCTTTGGCCTGATACAGTTTTAATTTTTTTTCTATATTAGTAACCAATTCTTTGCACTGAATTATAATTTTTTTTAAGTAATTTAGTTGTTATTAATGTAAACTAATTTAAAATGTCTTACAAAATTGAATTACTCATTTCATTCAAAAACCACTCTTTGTTTCAATGTTTTTGAGTAATTTTTCTTTATTTTTTACTTAGACATCATAAAATCATTCAAAATAGAACTAGTACAAGAACAAATAAGTTTAATTAGGTACCGTTGTCTATTACTGAGTGGCACACAAATGTAAACAATATAAACAAGTTGTTTGAGTATGAATTTTAAATGATCATTAGATATGTTATTCAGTAAGCTTTTTGTTCAAGACCTGCATTAAATAGTCAGATCTATGTCCAACACAAATAAGCCGTAACGTTCCCTGGTAACATATTAATAGCTTGCCTTGTGTTGTATACTTGTATGTTAATGTAATTTAGAAATTACTTAAATTCTATTTTGTGACAAAAAAAATTAATTAATATTTTGAGAATGTGCCAATATTATACTCAATTTCAAGACTTAAAAATACATTTTACCTTGAAATATTTATAACGATAACAAAAACTACATTTATCCATTAAACACAATCTATGCAAAATGTCTCAATCAAAATAAAGTATAATTTAAGTATGTATCGTGTAATCATTTTCATTAATCTTTCCCAGGTTTCTCTATAAAGTAGTTTAATAAAAACAGTATGCATCATATTGGACAGCTTCAAAAAATTACATCCAACAGGAGAATAAATGTTGAGTATCTGTATTATGCAAAATTTGTTTGTTCATACTGTAGTTATGAATCTACCATATTTTGACTAGTAATTAAACAATATGCTATTAACAGATTTATACCAATATACCTCTCAAAGGATTATCAGCAAAAATGTTGTTATTCGGCATTCACTACTAGGATAACAATTTTGCATAATTTAACTTAAAGGTTTTACATTTTAAAGGAGCTCACAACATAAAAAAAATGTTGTTTCGAATTATTATTGAATTTAAAATTTTTATAGTTACAACCATTTAAAATAAGTAGGTAAAATCAATTTAAAAAATAATATTTAAGGAGATATTAAGGGATTTAGAATGACCGGGATCAATTTATAATTGTCTTACATGTTTAAAGTTGCTCGTTTTACACAATGATTCGCACATCCAAAAATTGTATTTATGGTATTGCCTTTAGTCTAAAAGTGTGAATTTTGAACATTCTAACACTTAAAACAAATTCTAGTTCAACTAACGTTTTAGTTCATAAAAACCTGTTATAGGTATAACAAAATCGGGAAAAAATATTTTAGGGCAATTACATTATTATGTGAAGAAGTCAATTTGTACACGTATAAGATTATGCAAAGAAACTTGCTTTTACTTAATTCATTAATACTCATTGAATAATGCGAGTAGGAAAGTTAATAATTAATACTCATGCCATTTTTCTTAGAATTAAACTTTCTTTCAAATTAAGAAACTTATTTTTTGTTTTTTGTGCTCATTTAATACATCATTAGTTTATCATAGAAACTAACTTTTAACATTGTGCCATGTTGTTGTGTGGTATAAATTATAGAATACATATTATTATAACTTTTAAATAAATAATATTGAAAACACATTTTATTGAACACAATTTAAATGGCTAGTAATTGTATATACATAACTTGTACAATTATTTTTTCAAGTTCACTCTTTTTTTTGTGCACATTCAATCAATAACAATAAAGGCATCACAATCAGTTGACTTTATTATCAGAAATAATCGTGATTCTAATAACATTGTATCATTAAAAACCCTTTACTTTGCTCTAGTACGTTCAATACTAGAATGTTGCTCCATTTTGTGTAACTATTACCAACTTGTATGGATAAATAAAATTGAAAGAATTCAAAATAAATTCCTAAGATTTATTAATACAAAAATTCCTTATAATTGCATAGTAATTGATCATTGCTAGAACTTCTTAGAAGACTAGTCAACTGGATCAACTCTCTAAGACGTTTATATTTATTTACAAAATCTTTCATGGCACAATAAAAGATAGTTTTCTGCTCAGCCAAATTAATATATCAGTTTCCACATTTAATTCTAGAAGCTGGCCAACCTTTTACATTTATTATCACAAAACACTACACGCGTCTTTTTCCCCTATTAACAGAGCACTAGGAATAACTTACAAAACAAATTTGATATTTTTCATTCCTCTCGAAAAGCGTTGCAAAATAATATATTTTCTTTCTCACCATTTTTTCTATTTAATATATTGTATACTAACTGATAAACACAAGTGTGTAAACATATTAAATTAATATTGTTGTATTTAATGCTAAGATGTTTTATGTATGGATGTTTTTATTCAAACAGTTTAAGCATTTAATTTATTCTGTACTGATTGCCTTCAG